GCTGAGGGCTGGACTAGATTTTAAGGCTCCGAGTTACGCAAAACTTGCTCCAGTTGCTGCAGCGCGTCAGGGTTTGCCCACTACTGATGGATGGGCACAGCCATCACTGGAGCTGATTCTGAGAGCACAGGGGAGATCTGGCAGGTACTGCTATGACAACCAGGGAGCAGAACAGCCCACATTTCCCTGGAAGCTCCAAAAACAAACACTCCAGAACAGTGAAAAGGTACATGTTTATCCGGAGTATCGTCCTGCGTCCTCCTCTCTGCAAGGTGTTTTTTGGTTCTCACGCAGAAAATTCAGGAAGTTTCTGGCTGGGATAGAGTTAATTTACCTCCTGGTAGCTGGTGTGGAGCTGTGGTTTGGATTGCGCAGGGAACAGGGTGGGTAACACAGGGATGTTTCTGTTATGGCTCAGCAGGGCTTGCACAGAGCCAAGGTCTTTCCTTCTCCTCACCCCAGCAGGGAGAGGCTGGGGGTGCCCAAGGAGTGGGGAAGGGACACAGTCAGGACAGCTGATCCCAAATGACCCCTGGGATGTCCCAGATCACATGGAATCATGCTCAGCACGTGGAGTTGAGTGGAGGGAAGGGCTGCTCAAGGCCTGGCTGGGAATCAGTCAGTTGGAGATGAGTAACTGTTTTCATCTGCTTTTCCCTTTACTGTTCTCATTTAAATTACATTTATTATTACTGTTATTCATTATTATTATACATTATTCCATTTTATTTCAACTAATAAATGGATGGAGGAGAGGGAATGGCTTCCCACTGCCAGAGGGCAGGGTTAGATGGGACATTGGGAAGGAATTGTTCCCTGTGAGGGTGGGGAGGCCCTGGCACAGGTTGCCCAGAGAAGCTGTGGCTGCCCCTGGATCCCTGGAAGTGTCCAAGGCCAGGTTGGACGGGGCTTGGAGCACCCTGGGATAGTGGAAGGTGTCCCTGCCCATGGCAGGGGGTGGAACTGGATGGGCTTTAAGGTTCCTTCCAACCCAAACCATTCCAGGATTCTGTGCTCTTATCTCAAACCTCATCACTTTTAAACTTTCAGTTCTCTCCCCCTCCTCCTCCTGCTGGGGGTAAGGAGTGACTGGTTGTTGGTATTTGAGTTGCCATCTGGAACTAAACCACAACAACCAAGTTTCCAGGAGGAAACAAACCTCCAGCCACCTGCAAAGCCAGTACCGGAATGGTGGGAAGCAGGGAACACCCACCACATTCCCTCCTCAGGTTCAGATATATTTCCTCTGGAAAAAAAAATTAGCAGGCACAAGAAACCTCATTTTCACTGAGAAGCATCTCATCCCTTTTTCTCTGACTTCAAAAGGCAAAACAAACAGGTATTTTATGTAAATGTGGACATTAGAAACAAAAAATAGAACAGAAAACATTAAATTCCTTTTTTCATAGGCAACTCAGCTTCCAGTGGAACAGCTGCAGATGAAAGTGGTAGCTACAAATTAATATATCATAAGGTCTACCAAAGGAACTGATTGTCTCAAATGCCAAAAGTAAGACCAAAGACTAAATTATTTTCATTTACGAAAGCGTGGAGAGGAATTGCTTTCATGTTGAGAGTTATGTGTTTAGGAGGAACCTCAGTTGGGCTTGTCAGCTTCTGACAAAAGTTAAAAACAATTTCTAAAACATTTCAGAAACATGACTTAGAAGGGGGAAAGGTAAACAATACAAAATCCCTGCCTTCTGCTTTAACTCCTTTCACATTCCAAACTCCTGGGGTGCCTCTCCTGCAGGAGAGGCCTGGAGCGAAGAATCTGCCTCCAAAGCACTTCCCATCCCTATCCTAAAACACAGGAAAATCCTGAAACCATTAAATACAGATGTTATGCCTTTACCTTCATAGGAATAAGTCATGCTGGAAAGGTGGGCACGTCCAAACCTTACAGCAGGTGTAATCTGAAGGTGGACAAGTACCTTAAATAAAATTACAAGCTATTTCCAAGTTCTCCTGAGGAGCAGCTGTTTCAAACACACGCTCTGGGGTCTGTTATCCATATTATCTCTGTTATATATATCTATATGTAACTCTATTATCTATTATCCATCTCTGTCACCCTCTCATCAGTGGATTTTTCCATCCCTGGTGCTCAGATATTGTAGTTTACAGTAAACCAGCAGCTGATATGGACCAAAATTTGACAGTGAAAGCAAAACCCATTGCATCAGTTTGCAAATTCTCTTTTTTCCTCCCAAAACGAACTCCTTTACCCCAAAAGTGTTGACCAGCCACCTGCAAACCAATGTCACACTGGTGGCAAACCAAGGGATTCCATGAGATTGGTGACACCAAAACCACGGACTCTTAATAAATGAATTGTTTTGATAAAGTGGTAAGTGTAGGTTAAATTAAAGTAGAGAATAATCAATAAACATTTTACCTGAGCCCTCTCTGCCATGAAGGTGATGAGATCCCCCCTAAGGGACTGGTCTCTCTAAGAGGGGGCTCTCTTATAGCTATTTTTATTTTTTTTCCTGTTGTTCCACACTATCAGATAAATTCCATGCAGGGACATAAATGAAATTGAGGAGAGAGTTAAAATTTAGCTCACTTTCTTTGGTTTGAGGCATAGAAACACTCGACCTGCACATTCCGAGTTGTTTCTATTGAGAAGATGTCACAGCTTTAAAAGGCAGGATTTGTTCTTAAATTTTGTCTGCTTTTCTACAATAAAGGTTTACAGGGGTGGAAATAAACGGGGCAGATGGACAAAGGAAGGTATTTTACAGTGCAGCTTTCTGGTTTTGGGAACCACGTTAACTTCAACGGGAAAAATGAAAAGCACGGAAATCATTTCAGGAGCCTTTCCAAACGGGCTGGTGCAATGAAAATGAACGAGGGAATTTAGGGATGAACAGCCCCCTTCAGCACTTCTGCAGATATTCATCAGCAACACAAAGACTAGAGGAAGTTTTTAACTTTAAACACTACTCAGATATTCTACCGGCACTGAGGTCGGTCAGGAAGAATCCAAGATCTTAACAACACATCCCGTCTCTGCTTCTTCAGAACTTGATGTTCAGGGTGGGATAAAGACAAGCCTATTTTTAAGGATCAAAAATCCAAGCCCCTGCCCTGGCTGTGGATCTCTCTGCATCACACTTTGTACTGATCCAAATTTTCAGAGCGAGGAACTGCCTGGGGAAAGGTGCCCTTTGTGCTTCAAGGAAAACCCGATGGGGAGGGAAGAGGCTCTTTTTGTAGCTTTGCTCTTTCATTTCTACGACCGTAATTTCACTGTAAAACCAAGGTCAAATCCCCACCCAAATGAACACTGAGAGGTCATTTGGAAATAGTGTGAAGGTAATGCAGAGTGGTTTGGGTTGGAAGGGACCTTAAAGACCCTGCCATGGGCAGGGACACCTTCCACTAGCCCAGGTTGCTCCAAGCCTTGTCCAACCTGGCCTTCGACACTTCCAGGGATCCAGGGGCAGCCACAGCTTCTCTGGGTAACCTGTGCCAGGGCATCACCACCTTTACAGCCAACAATTCCTGCCCAATATCCCGTCTAACCCTGCCCTCTGACACTGGGAAGCCATTCCCCCTTGTCCTGTCCCTCCAGGTCCTTGTGCAAAGTCCCCCTCCCTTTAGGCCCTGGAAGGGGCTCTCAGGTCTCCCTGGAGCCTCCTCTTCTCCAGGTGAACCCCCCCAGCTCTCCCAGCCTGGCTCCAGAGCAGAGGGGTTCCAGCCCTTGCAGCATCCCCATGGCCTCCTCTGGACTTGCTCCAGCACCTCCACATCCTTCCTGTACTGGGGACCCCAGAGCTGGCTAATTTAAGGAGTACCCATTGCAATATTGTCTATACCCCTGTAATTGCCACGTCTGCTTATTTCTGCCAGTCAAGGTGTTAAGAGTGTCCAAACACAGATCTTCCCAAGCCTATTTCAACCTCCTACAGAATCCCCCGACACCAGAGGGGCTCTCCTGTTCCAAAGGACACAGGAAGCACACGCTGTGAGGGTTTCCTGAGCACCTGCAACGAGGCTCCTGGGACATCTGGAGAAGCAAAACCGCTTTGAAAATTACCAAAAAAGAAAGAAACCCAAGGGGCTTTAGATGTTCTCACGAGCTGCTCTCCAAGGGCTCCCGATTTCAAACCCCAGGTGCTTCCCAAGCTGTGGCCACGCACGAGCGAGAATCCCAAACCAGTGAGACGACCCCAAAATACGGCTCAATCTCCTGCCTCATATTTATTCAGAATGAATTTTAGGAGGTGGTTAAAGAGACTTCAGAAGCCAAGATTAAAGTTATGGTGCATTTTTATAACTGTGGTTCAGCATTTTATGGAAGTAAACGCTGACAACTTTATAGCCGTGGTCGCTTCCAGCGAAGGCAGCAGAGATTTCTCCAGGCAACTGGTAAATATAATGTTTTTGCCTTATACTTTCATCTCAGTACACATAAAAGCATTTGACACACTTAATAAAATGTCACCAGCATAAAACACTGCACAAAGGAATGCTAAATAATGACACAGCTGCAATTATTGAGGAAAAAAAAATGAGCATTAGAAACATTTGGAGCCTTTCTCTCCATCACTGAGATGGTGGAATCTGGGGTTAAAATGCCCTCTTTTTGTTAATACCACTGAAAATATTCCTGAGCATACAACTCCATACAGTAACTAGTTCTGAGGTCATATGGAAAACACATCATTTATCCTGAGAAGAAAAAATTTAATTGTCATAAGGTATGTATAGAACTTTACTGCACCTGCTGTTGGCTCCAAAATCTGGGATCTCAGGCTGATGCCAGCCTTAATTTGGGGACCCCTGTAACGGACCACGAAAAAAACTGCTCAGCCACCTCCAGAGCCAGCTTTTAAATAATAATTCTTTGCATCAGAGAAGGAGAAAAGCCCAGCCCAGCCCAGCCTGGCTGCAGCTCTGTGTTTTACTGTTTCCAAGCAACCCCGTGGTTTCGGCTCAGACACAAACCCAACCAGCCCAGAAATGCAGGGAGCCTTTCCCTCCGTACTCACTTGTTCTGCATCATGTTCATTATCACCCAGTCGAAGGGATAGACGTTCTTCCCGATGAGATTCTTGAACATGATGAATGTTTCCATCAGGAAATCCTAAAAGAAGAGAAAATATTTGGAGAGGTCTGTTCTGCTGGATCACAGACATCCCCGGGATGGTGGCAGTTATTAATGACCGCGCTCCAAAGGTGTCCTCGTGTTCTGCTCCATAAAAAAGCCATTATTCATATATAAAACACACCTAAATCCTACTAAAGCATATTTATACATCATGGCCATAAATCCTACAATAATTCCAGTTAAACTTGTCAGAAATTATGACAACTTTAATCCCATTGGATGACTCAGGACCTACCACTGGTTCACCAGTTATCCCAAAGGGAATAATTTTATATATATATATATACACACACATACATTAAATATTTTGTATTTTTTTATATATAATAATTATTTTATACACCATAGACAAAGTCTCACAGTCTCTTTTAATCAGGGCAGCCTGTATTGTGACACACATGTTGCGACACGTGCCTGGGGTCTCTCAGAAAGCTGTTTAAAGCACACTGGGACATGGAAAGAGAGAAAAAAAAAAAAAAAAAAAGCTAAATATTCATTCAAATAGTATCATTACATTGAAAATAATCCCTGGAGTTCACTTCATGAGTTTTCCCTCCCTTTGTGAATATCCTCCCGAAATCAAGATTGTTTATTTATGAAAACAAACACATGTTCTAGCTCAAAATGGGATCCATCAGTGTGGTGGTGCCCATCATGCTGTCATGGGGCAGAACAAATCAGTGGTTTGGCCATCCCAAAACTGGGAGAGGCTCTCCCCAAAGGCAGCAACAGTAATTCCTTCTGCAAGTGACAACCTGTCCCAGAACAAAAGTTAATTTAGCAGCATAAAGCAATTTATTCCTGCACAGCTATAAACAAACACTTCTTTGGACCAGAAACCTCGTGTACTTTACAATGTAAATCACCTCCTACAATCTGGGAATCTGTAATTGCTCTCTGACAATTGGAATAATATCAAATGCTGGGAGAGAGAGAGAGAGGGGAAAAAAGAACTTAATGCAGAAAGTCCTTGATCCACTTCACAGAGAGATAAAAATGAACTTTTATTCCAAGGTTAGAATATTTTCCCTTTGATTCAGTTTCTCAGTAATGGTATTTATCTCGTCTATCTTTAAAATGTCAAATGCCTACAAAAAAAACCCCCAAAATGTTACATTCACTGGACTTTTAACTAAGACTGTTTTTTATGTAACCTTTTCAGTGAGAAACAAATCTGAAGTTGCTGCTCTCATCAGTCTTTCTCCACGTGTGAGAGATGGTATCTTGGTCACATTTTATCTCCAGGTTGGCTGTTCTTTTAAAATGCTTTTCCTGCCTCAGAAATCCCCAGGCAGTGGGATGGGGGGAGCTGCAGAGATCCTGAGGACACAACACTGGGATCACAAATCACTGAATCATAGAATGGTTGGGTTGGACCTTAAAGACCATCCCATTCCCCCCCACCATGGACAGGGACACCTTCCACCAGCCCAGGTTGCTCCCAGTCCTGTCCAACCTGGCCTTGGACACTTCCAGGGATCCAGGGGCAGCCACAGCTTCTCTGGGCAACCTGTGCCAGGGCCTGCCCACCCTCACAGGGAGGAAATTCTTCCCAATATCCAAACCAAACCTACACTCTTTCAGTCAAAGCCATTGCCCCTTGTCCTGTCACTCCAATCCTCCTGAAGAGTCTCTCTCCATCTCTTGGGCTCTGCCACACGCACGGCACGAGCGCTGCTTTGGGACGTTCTGCACCCCAGCTCCTGGTACCCAATTAATCATCAAATCACAGAATCATCAAGGGTGGGGAAGACCCCCAAGATTATCAGGTCCAACCTTCGACCAAACACCAGTGTTCCCACTGAAGCACATCACGATGTTTTGGAACTGCTCGTGGCCTGTGAGGTGTCCCCACTGTGCAAAGCCAAACTCACCCCAGATGCTCTCCACGAGCTCAGTAAAATCTTCCTTCGTGTAAGAGACCCAACTGCAGATTTTACTGCTCATTTTTCATGTATTTTGGTGGAGGAATTACACTGTTGGTGATTCGGGCTCGTTCCTGACCCTGGAGGTTCTGCCACGTCTGATCTGACCTACTTTGCTGATTCAGCTCTACATTTTAATCTACTGATATTTACATTTTAATAACCCCACGTTCACACAGGTACTTTAAATAATGCTCTATAACAACTGAGCTAATTATTGATCAAATCCAAAGCTCCTCGTGCTCACCTGTGGTTTGTGCATTCAGAATATTCCTCTCTTTGCCATTTTATCTTCCTTATAGAAAAGTAAATGGCTTGGATGAATTAACCTCATGTTATGAGCGAAACCCAGGGCTTTCCTGGGGGGTGGGTGTGGAGAGGGAAGCTCCCAGGGCATGCACACTTTTTTTCAGTGTATCTGGAAGCAGAACAAATTTTCTCTGAACATAAAAAAATGATAAAAACCTCTGTTGAAGGAGCAAGGGCTGCAGCTCCTGGTCTCTCTCTCCAACTACAAATACAAATCGTATTTAATATCCCAAGGAAGCTTAATCCAGAAGAGTTAAGACCCCTTCCCAATTCCCATCCACTGAGCAAGCTCAGCCTGAGATACACCACGTGGCAAAACATCAACACGAATTTTTTGTCAACTAATACCACCTATGGCTCAAATAAAAATAATTTTTATCAAGTAAGAAGGGGAGAGAAATCAATTAGTCCCAGAAATAACCTCACTGATCTTGGGTGATGTTTCCTCTCAGGATGACAACAGAATCACAGGTCTGGATTTCACAGGATCACAGCCCAGTTTGGGTTGGAAGGGACCTTGAAGTCAGAAATTCCTCTTTGAACAGACATACCTTAATAAATCCAAACACTGTGTTCTGCAGAGGGATAAAAGACTGGTTTTATTGCATTCTGCCTCACCCTTTAAAAGACTTTTGAGGCCAAATATGACCATTATAATAATCTCAAACTGACACCTACATACACAGCCCATAAAGTTCCCTCCAGCAGTTCCATCTCCTGGCTGAGCAAGAGCACAGAGAGATTTAAGGGTCTCCCATGGAGAAGAAGCAACCACAGCTTCACTTTTCTTGCCATTTTTTTTTTTTTCAAGGAAAACCTAATAATTTCTGTTTGGCTTAATCTGATTTCAACCCTAAATCCCTGCTCTGTGATTGAACTGAACACTCTGGAATAGGAGGTGCAGTTATCACCTCCGTGTCCAGGGATGTTGGGATGAAATGAAAAGACTTCTGGATTTAATGGGTGAGTTAAATGACAGTGGCTCACAAAACTGTTGGATTAAAGAAATGGAAAAACCAAGAAATGTTAAATGAAGAGGCAGGGAAAGGTGTTTTTCCCCACCCAAACCATCCAGTGCAGCTCAGCAACATCCCACCACTGAGGAGAGATGAAAACAGGAGCTCCAAGAGAGGAACAAGGAGTGGTGACAGTGAAGGAGGTGACAGAGCTGCAGTTCTGATGGGGGAACAGGAACCAGAGACCAAGGTGGGGCTTTCACATCAACACTGAAATCCCATCCAGGAGGAAATACTTCTGAGAACAGAAATTCCTCACTGAAAAGGTTGTGTCAGCTTTTCTCTTCGGCACAGAAACTGGGTTGTATCATCTTTTTGTTCTCACTGATGACTCAATCAGTTTTATTTGTGCTTACAAAAAAGGGAAAGAAAATTCAGTTTACTCACTGAAGTTTCCTTTTTTTTTGACAGGATGAACACTGTTCTGCCATTACACCTGCACACCTTCTTTCATAATATTTAAAGTCAGTTTAAGGCAGCATTTTCTACTCTTATCTTATTACCCATTTAATATTTTACCAGCTTATTGTGTACTTTAGTTTCTGTTAACACACATCATCATTTACACAGCAATATTAAAACATTTAAAAGGTACATTTAATTAAAGATATAAAGTGTTGCAGCACCTGACCAAGTTTGGATTTGAATACCTGCTAAAACAAATGAGCACAACAGTGGAAAACAGGGAGTCAAACAGTTCACATTCTGATGGAAAATATGATTTTTAACAGTCCAATTCCAGCTCCACAACCCCAGAAAAGGCAGGATGAATATTCAGAGTCAGGACAGAAGAAAGAAGTGATTCCTCCTGAATCCCAGAGCACTGAGTGCATATAAATCAAACTCTTAAGAAGGACCCATTATAGACAGACCACTTTCCAAATTTCAAATACATAATAATTCCTGTTTTAACAAGGAAGATCTGACCTACAGAAGCACCTTGCAGGCAATTTAGAAAAAAAAAAAAAAAAGAGAGATTTTTAAACCAAACACTTCTATTGCCATTAGAAAAATCCCGTATTTCCTAAGCAGCACTTTTCTCTCTGCATTTTTTTTTTTTTGCTATATGTTGTCCTGATTTTGGCTGAGATAGAGTTAATTTTCTTCTTGTGTTTGGGGATTTGGGATGAAAGGAATGTTGCTAACACACTGATATTTGGGATTCTGCTGAGCTGGGCTTACCCTGAGTCAAGGACTTGTCAGTGGCCCAGGGAGGAGCTGCACAAGAAGCTGGGGAGGAGAATGGCCAGGACAGGTGACCTGTCCCCCCGCAGGTGACCCCACCAGTGCAGGGGGTTGTGTGGCATTTCTTTGCTGCCTGGGTCAAATCAAATCCCCACATCAAACCCTGCAATCAGATTTCCTTTTCCAGAGCCAAATGCTTTTAAAATTAGAGAAATATTTGGCTTGATAAACCTTAACACCCACGTCTTTTCTGCCTGCTACAAGCAGTGTTTTTACTCCACTGGCTGCATTAAGCTTGGGAACGTTGTATTGTTAGTGGGAAACCAAATGACTGTCCGTGTAAATGCTCCAAGATCCCACAGCAGGGTGACTGGGAAGCCCTTTCCGTGCAGTGATGCCCATCTGCAGCTCTTTGCAGCTGGACTTTGTCTTCCCCCTCTGCAATCATCAGCTCTGTGACTCAGTGATGCCAGATCAGGTGCAAACAGAAGCTTTAGCAACTTATCTGAAAACTGGCGTGGGGCAAAGAGCTCAAATCCGGCAGAAAATGGGTAGAAATAAGAAGAACAAAAATTAAAGATGAACTGGAAAGCCCAAACATAAAGAATTACACAAAGGAAAGCCCCTGGGCTTGGTTCTGTGGGGTCTGGAAGGAGGAGAACCCGAATAAAGATTAAAATCCAGGAGAAAGTGCCTGGAGCATTCCCAGGATGGAATGGAACAGGGCTGAGCAGCTTTGGGTCATCACTAATTGCTGGGAGCTCAGCCAAGAGTTTGGTGTCCCCTTTGCAGCCATATGGCAAAGCCAGTTTGGGTTATTGCAGAGTTATCGCCTCAGCTATAAACTCCCTCCTATTATTGCTTTAATTAAGTTGGGTTGTTGCCTCAGTCAGGGCACTGAACGACTCTGAGAAGACAAATTTCAATTATTATTGCTTATTTAACAACTAAGGGCATCCCTAAGGTTAAAATGGTTTGTGCAAAAGGGAAAAGTGAGATTTTACCCGGACCTCTGGGTAAAAGCTACTTAAAGAAAGGAAAGCAGGACATCTGGCAGATTTAACACTGAAAGTTCCTTTCCTAAGGAAGTTTTATTTAATATTCTTTTCTTCTCTTCTTAAATAAAAGTCTCATCACTGCTATTTCTTCATGCTTTCTTTTAATTGCCTCAAATCCACTGTCTCACGCTTTTTAAAGCACTGAACAGCCTCAGGGCTTTAATAAAGATTTTTATATTAATTCTATAATGCCAAACACATTTTGTTGACATTTCACAAGTGTACTTAATGACCAATAACGGGGGGGGGGGGGGTAACAAACACATGGTGAACTATTTTATGAAGAGAGATAAACCAAGCCAAACTCACCACAACATCCGACCTCATCTTCCCAAAAGTCTTGATTAAATGAGCATAGTGATAGTCCTCCATCTGCCTTAGAATGGCTGTCATGCAGGCCACAAAACTGCCCTGGAAAAATAAAAGTAAAGAAGGCAATTACTTAAGAAAAGGCAACATATTTGTTGTTATCAAAACATAACACTGCTTGAGAGCCCCACACAGATACAATTCCATCATTAAAATTCATTAGTGAATGTGCAAAGTTCTGTTAGGAAAACAAAGGAACATCTCAAAAAGTTTCCATTTCCAATTTCATGGGTCTGGCACTGAAGCTTTTGCAACACGCTCCTCATCTAAAAACTGCTCTGACATTAAAGGCTTTGCAAGGTAATAAACACCACTCCTAAAAATATCCCACAATATCAGCATTTGCATTTGGAAAGTCAATACTCTGCTCAAGGAAGAAATCTCTTAAAAATCATTACACACACTGAGCAGCCACAGCTAAACCCCGAGTTTTAATTTCACTGAGTGGTATTTTCAGGTACTGTGATGCTTACAAAAAAAACCCCACCAAAATCCAATAAGTTTCATAAAAAAAAGTAGAAGAGTCGTACCAACCAGATCTCTCTCAAACTATGGAAAAAGTAAAAAGTGCCAAAAAGAAAGTAAAGATTTCCCTGCGGTGTGTCAAAGTGTTGTAGTAACAACTCCAGCCCATTCCTGTGGCTACTCAGATGTAGAAAGATCCCATAAATAGGTTCTTCTTGTCCATCTTCTCTCTCTGAAGACCTGCTAAAAGCCTGTTGATAATGTCCAGGTCTTTTGTGTTATTTGATGGAAAGAAAAACCACTAAAAATCTGAACACCTCGGAGAATGACTCAGAAAATAAGTGATTCTTTCTATGGTTTGATAAAACTCTAAATTCCCCTTTCAGTGCCATTTCCAAGGTGCTCCATCCTGAGAGAATACTGAGGAATTTTCTCTCCTTTCTGAGGCACAGAGCCTTTATTGTTGCCTTTAAGAGCAGCATTACTTTCAATTTCAAATATTTCTTTCCACATCAGTCCAAGTAAGGGAGATTAAAGCCAAAATGACACCAGGTTATCTGGGTGGGCTCTGAGCCCTCTCACTTACAGGCTAATCCCCAACCTCCACCAGATAAGCACTCCTGGAATGTGCTTTTCTCCCATGGAATGGAGCTGAGATCTGAACTCCCCCAGAACTGATTTGGTCCATGTGGGCCATTTTCCCACCTGATGGGAGCTGTTAGGAATGTGCAGACTCCATGAATATAAAAGGGAAAGGCCACCAGAGCTGCCGTTCCAGGACATCAAAAGCACTTTCTAACAAACTCTGACAAGAATAGAAGCTGGGGCTGCAAGGAGACGATGTTTACTACTATGGAATGGAAATCAGGAGGGATCATCTCCGAAATGTGAATGTTGATTGTCACAGCAGCCTCTCAGGAACGCTCAACACAACAAACGCTGTCGATGGGCCTGGAGGAAAACATCCAACAGCCCTCACTCAGTCCTGTCCCCCCTAAGGATGTCATCAATCAAAAGGGATGTGCCAGCACCAGTCAGAATTACAAATTTTTTCAACTGGCTGCCTAAGATGAGCTGTAGTTGGAAGGGACATTAAAGACCAACCAGTCCCACCCCCTGCCATGGGCAGGGACTCCTTCCACCAGCCCAGGGTGCTCCAAGCCCTGTCCAACCTGGCCTTGGACACTTCCAGGGATGGGGCAGCCACAGCTTCTCTGGGCAACCTGTGCCAGGGCCTGCCCACCCTCACAGCCAACAATTCCTGCCCAACATCCCATCTAACCCTCCCCTGGGAGCAGCACAGGCTGCTCTGGCTGTCCCCATCAGCCAGGAAGATGATGAGTCACCAAAGGGAGGGACAATTACACATGAATATCTTCTTAATTAGCACGGTGAGAATCGGAAAGGAACATGAAAGTTGAATGTCTGGTGGTGAAACACTCTGAGCCCACGTGCAAGAGGGAAAATGACAATAGGAAAGCCTGGTGAAACCCTGGAATGGGTGCTGGAGTCAAGAATAAACACAGGAAAATAAAGCTGAGCAAATACAAACGAAACACGAACAGGAGGGGATTCTGTAGCGCTTTAAGTTTTAGTTAAAATTCCAGAACTTTGTTAAATGTTGGTGTGTAGCTGATGCTGAGCCCCCAGAGCGGTGCTGAGCAGGGTCTTTGAGCAGTTCATCAACACTTACTCCTGTGTTCCTGCATAAACAATGATTCGTGCTCATCTCAGTATCTACCCAGGTAATAAAACTCCTTTCTCTCTTTATTTCTTTGATACCTTATTGTCCTTTTAAGGCAACATTTTCTCACATCCCTGGGACAACATTCACCTGCAGATCCCCATCTATAAACACTCATACCTGCTGGGTATGAAAATCTACTCAGAACTAGGAAAAAAGTGTCCTACGAGTCATCTGCTCACCCCTCAGCATTTTCCTTGCACTTAGTGAGGTATCATTTGCAGCCAGCACGCTCTTAATTACAATGCTAATAAAATCTGTAATTATTTATAGGCAATATTTGTACTGAAGGCGTTTTTTAACGTGGTCTACTGACTATTTAACAACAGCTAAAGATGATTACATTTGAAACTTAAGCTGCTTCCTAATCCTTAGTTGGATTTGGAGGCCGCTGTCATCATCTCCAGCACTCCAAGCAACACATAATAAAAAGGGATCTAATTCTCTAAAAAAAAACGATTTGAATTTTAACCACAGGAATAATTGCAAAGCTACACTTAAAGTCCTGCAAGGGGAGCACCAGGGACTTGCCACTGCCCTGGGCATTTATCAGCTATTTATCCACTCAAACAGTGTCAGGGTTTAACCTGAAGTCTTTCCCATCCTTCCTTACTGTCGAAGCTCAGAAATGAGGGAGTAGGATAATAATCAAATTCAGCCACATTAAAAGAAAACCAAACTAAACACAACCCCAAAGTGTCTATTTTTTTCCTATGGAAAGGATGCCTGATTATTCAGAAATTAATGTTATATTTAAGGAAAAAAAAAACAACCAAAACAAACAAACAAACAAAAAAAACAGAGCATGAAATTCCAAACTGTAAAATTACTTCGAATTTCTGTAACATTCAGCTCTGAAGGAAAAGCTGAAGAGGCCCATGAAAGCTCCCTAAATCATTTCCCTAAATTATCTTTAAAATGAGACACTCCATGTTCGAATGGCTCTTGAACCGGTACAAGAAGGGAAATTTTGGGATCAAATAAACCCCACAAGTAAAACTAACACTGAGAAATTTCAGAAGGAGAAGAGAATTCCCTGCAGGAGAGACAACACATGCCAACATTTTTCTCCCTCAGGGATAAAACATCTTATTTTAAACAGTCTTGTCCATTTTCTTCCAGGGAAATCTCTAAGTTGGGAATATTAAGCTCTTTATGTCTAGTGAGAAAACTTAAGAGAAATCAAAAAGACATCGAATTTAGGGATGTTTCAGTGCAATCTCCCTCTTTCCATGCTCGGGAACAGATGAAAAACTGTAAATTATAATTATTTTTTCCAAAAAATTCTCCTTACATGGCCTTAAAAAACTACACAGCTAAATAAATAAATAAATTGGTAAATATATTAAAAAACAAACAAACAAACAAACAAACAAACCCCACCCTTGAATGAATTAACTACATTTTGGCTTTCAGAACATTTTCACAGAATTTACTTTGTGGAAAAGGGTTTATGTCCCTCACAACTAGCAGTTCGTAAAGACATTAAAATGAAGTTTTCTCTTTGCTCACACCACCTGTTCTCTCTACATCAGCAACAAAGAAAGAACTAAAAAATCAGTTGTTACCAATTCCAGAAGCCACAAATTAAACTGTCACCATTTATCAACTCAAAAGACAAAAATCCATCTCTAAAACGTCCCAAATTTCAACTTTTTGGTAACTTCTAAGGGTACTGGCTTGTGAAAATGTCAAGTTCATTCTGTCTGCAGACCAGTTGGCTCACTTAAATAATATATTCCATATAGTTTATAGGATCAAGATATTATACAACCCATCATGGGTAAGGCAGAGGGTCTCCCATCACTTCTTGTTTTCAAGAATATTTTATATTGTGTAACATTTAACGAGCTGGGTGGGAATTGCAGCTTTCAGCGCATCCTAAAGGGAGTTTGACACAGATTCCTGAAGCTTTTACCAGCAGAATCACATCAGTAAGAGCAGGAAAAAGAACCAAAACAAAGCAAACCCCCTAAGCTCCATAAATATAAATATATATATATGTGTATATAAATTCATACATGTATTTCTCACAGTATTAAAACAAACATTTCTTTTCCTGGAATAGAAAATCTGACAGCAAATTCACCAGCAGAATATAAACAAGTGCCAAATGTTCCCATTTATCACATGTTCTTACTGAATATCCCTCTCTTTTCCATTTCCTTAGGCCAAACCCTGCCTTTCTGAACATGGGGAATAAAACATGGGAGTCTTTTCCCTTCGAGAAACCCAAGTAATGGTTGTGATAAATATCTGGGGGCTTTTCCTGCTGCCACAAACGTTATCATAAAGCATCTTTTAGCCAGCCAAGATGCAGGAAGGCATTTTCACTGACAAATTTCCAGAGCTCCTGGAAAAGAGGTGCCACCTCCTGTGTTTGATGTGGTTTAAGTTGTTTTAAAACAAGACTTAGAAGACTTCAGTGCTGATCACCAGGTCCTGACCAGCTTCCAAAATAGGAAAGAATTAAAAAGACCTGATTTTCCTGAGAAGTGCACAAGGTCTAAGGAAATTTTCCATTTTCACAGGTGGGACATCAAGGAACAAGAGGAAAGGGCCTCAGGCTGTGCCAGGAGGTTTAGATTGGAGAGCAGGGAAAATTTCCTCACCCAAAGGGCTGTCCAGCCCTGGCCCCCATCCTTAGGGGGATTTAAAAGCCATGTGGATGTGGCACTTGGGGACAAGGGTTTAGTGGTGGCCTTGGCAGTGCTGAGGAATGGTTGGACTCGATGATCTCAGCGGGCTTTTCCAACCTAAATGATTCCACGATTCTCCGAAATACCATTTTGGGGGAAGGCAGTTTAGTTGGTTCTTAGCAAAAAAATCCCTG